TATGTTTATTTCATATTTCAACTCGATGGAAAAATTGGCAAATAATTTGACCCATTATGAAAATATCTTATCTCATCAGCAGTTTCGAGATGGCTTCTCCATAAATTTAGGTTTACGATAATTTAAGGAAGTGAATAGTTTTTTTTTTAATTGGCAAAATAATGACCGGTGACTAGTGAAGTTCAACTGGGTCTGTTGTGAGACAGTAACTCACTGATGACAATAGTGGATGTGTCGCTCAATTTCGTCAATTAGTTGAAGTTAGATATTAACACAGTCGGATATCGAACATCACAGTGGTCTAGAAGTTAAGCGCTCGTGCGTGAGACCGATAGGTTCTATGCTCGTATCTCTCAAGGTGGAATCGTGGATGCGCATTGTTGAAAAGTCCCACAAAGGGATAAAACGGTTGTCCAGTTCTTCCACATTTTCCACAGTGGTCTAGTTTCAATTGATTCATGATCTCAAATATTAAAATAGATTATATTAATAGACTTGGTTAGTAAATTATTGAGTATGATGAATTATTTGTTAAAATATTAATAGAATATTCTGATGAAGATCAGAATAAACTCATTTTGATGTATACAATTTCAATATTTACGTTAGTCTCACAATAGTTAATCATAATTAAGTTAATAAATCAACTAACTTTGATTATTTTATATAATTTGGATTATATTATTAATGATTAAATGGTAGAGTAGACAAATATTTTTGAACTCTGTCTACCATGATATCTATTGAGAAAGATTGACTCGCGAGGAGCAGGCTGGCTTTCGTTCTGGTCGAGGATGTATTGATCATATCTTCACCTTCCGCCGAATGTTAGAACATCATCATACTTATCAAAGGCCAACAATCGTAGTGTTTCTTGACATCAGGGCTGCCTTCGACTCGTTGGATAGGACTGTTCTCTGGGATTGTCTATTGAAGATGGATGTGCCTGAGAAGTTTGTTAGCATCCTAAAAGCCCTATATACAAACACCTCAAGCAGAGTGGGAGCATACGACCACCTTTCTCCATTGTTCCATTCAAGCAGTGGGGCTAGAAAGGGCTGCTCAATCTCACCATTCCTCTCCAACTTTGCCATCGACGACATTCTGGAAACAGCTCTGATGGGTGTAAGTAATGGCGGTGTGAATCTGTTGCCTGGAGAAAGACACATCGACCTTGAGTATGCGGACTATATTGTCTTACTGTGCGATAATGCCCAAGCCATGCAATCCACACTTAATCAGTTGGCAATTAGTGTCCGTAGCTATGGTATGTGCTTTGCGCCTTCGAAGTGCAAAGTACTTTTACAAGACTGGCAAGACCTTGATCCTGCACTCACCCTGGATGGTAAGCAGATAGAAGTAGTTGAGAAGTTCGTGTATCTATGTAGCTACATAAGTGCTGGTGCGGGTGTGAGTGATGAGATCACTGCACGTATAGTGAAAGCCAGAGCGGCTTATGCCAATCTGGGCCACCTTTGGCGCCTTCGTGATGTTAGTCTGGCTGTAAAAGGTCGGATCTACAACGCGTCGGTGAGAGCAGTTTTGCTCTATGCTTGTGAAACCTGGCCTCTCCGAGCTGAAGACGTTAGACGACTCTCTGTGTTCGATCATCGTTGTCTCCGAAGGATTGCTGACATCAGGTGGCAACACCATGTTAGTAATGCAGAGGTTCGGCATAGTATGTTCGAGCACAGAGATAATAATGCAATCGACGTCACCATCTTGAAACACCGACTTCGGTGGCTTGGACATGTTCTTTGATTGTCGTTCCAGAGAATTCCACGTCGTGCATTATTTGCCGACTCTGGGACTTGTTGGAAGAAGCGGAGAGGTGGTCAGTGCATGATATGGTGTCGTGGAATGAAAGAAAGCTGCAAAGGTCTGGCTTCTGTCGGTCCTTCACGACTTACTGGTTGGGGTATGAGAGATGGTGCTACACAGTGGCTAGAGACGTTATCAGATATGGCTCAGAATAGAAGCCAGTGGCGATCCTGCTGTGACCTTCTTTTACTTTCTTCATAAAAAGTGGTTGTGTCTCCCTTACCTGAAAGATTTCTTCTGATTGTACCTTTCCGTTTCCCCCATTATTACTACTATTATTATTACACTACCATGCACTAATCTGTGGTCGTTACTCTTATCTTTTTTTCTTCCCTCTTATACACACTTCACATCCTTCTTCTCTCCCCATTCTCATTGTTTTGTGTGGCGCATGCATATCTGATGCCCCCTTGTACCAATATTTATATGTTCAAATAAATAATTGAGTTCGATCATTGTTGTATGAAGTTCATCATATAATCTTTGGATTTAATAAGTGATATTGATTATGTAGATCGTATTTCAACTAATTAGAACAACACCACCACCACCAACAAGAAACTCTCATAATGATCTGTCTATTAGGTAAACCTCTTATGTATATAGAATTTCATAATGACAATTTTTCTATAAAGAAATTTGTTTCATAATATTAATAATGGTATCCAATTGACATTAATGGAATTCTTAAATATTTTCTCAAATGTGTAAGATACAATATACTAGGTAACCTTTGTTTATTGGACATAGATACTAAAGCTTTTTTCACAACAGAAAATATCAATACTCTAAATAAGTTTGCATCGTTGTAAATTTTTTTTGTATGTTTATTATTTAACAGAAATCATTATCTTGGAATGTAGATTTAATCTTAATATCCTGAATTATTAGGCATCATTGGATAGTCCGTGAATACTAATTTACCTAGTGATTACTTGAGAAGCTGATAGATTTTATTCAATTTAACATATTGATAACGAAGTAATTTAATTAATCGTTTTTTTTAACTTTCGTTACAGATAATCTAAAGTCAATTAATCAAAATATAAAGTTATTGTTCTTACTGATAAGAACGAATTATTACATGAAGTTCTGAACAACTTATTGCTTATCTAATGAACGATTACAAATGAATATTGGTGCTTTACGTTGTTGTATATAGTTATATCTAGCGGATCGTATGCCACACGAGTTCTTATAATCTCTGGTTAACTGTACTAAGTATGAACAACTTAAGGCAGAACTACAACCTGAAAGTGACAGTTCTAATCGTTAAAGTAATATTATGTTTACACCTGGATGATCAAATGAAATAACCAATAAACATCCAAATACGAAACAATTAATCATGGTGTACCTGCAGATTTACTGACTAAGGTTAGGCAAACGAACATACTCAACTCCTGAATACAGGTTTAAAAGATACAGCTGTAATTCCCGGTATTCGGTTTCAGAATGTCTATGTCTAACTACAAGCTGGGTTTGAAGACTGGAAACTTAAGTATATCATCTGAAATATCCTTCCAGATAACTGTAGATTAAGAAATATAAGCTCAGTAGTAGCTATTGCAGAAATCCAGATGTTTGCTAATTATTGGTTGATCTTACAGTAAAAAGACATCTCTTTTCTTGAAGTTTAAAACTGAATCCTGCTTATCACAGGTGATCTTGTTAGTAAGGGACTGCTATTAGTAAATCCGAAAGTAAATTTCTTCAAGTCAACCATACACGACATTTTGTAAGAGGTATTTTTAAGGTAATAGTAAATGGAAAAATTATTGATCTTTGCGTTGGACACCCGAAACCCATGAACTAAAAGAGATTTTATTTGAGACAGTTATTTTCATTATCTTCCTCTAGTTAAAAAAAAACAATATCACCACATATTTTGGTTATTCATGAGAAGCCTGATACTCTTGAAATATTGTGACACATTTGTATGATTAATATATACTTGCAAGTAAAAAAAACTTCAGCCTATTTACCTAATATCAAAGGAAATCAAACGAGAATTATTCAAGCCAGTAAAGATCGATGAATTCATCATAACTGAAAAACTCAACGATAAAGCCATGACAACAAGTATCGTAATTGCATTTCATCAGTCAATAGTATGATTAAGATTATAACAGGTATTTTTTAAAGTAAGAGATATTAACAGGATTCGCAATGTATTGTTAATAAGATATTAGTAATATCTGTAGGATTTATCATCATGATTCCAGTGAAGGAATAAATACGGAAGAAGCTCTAGAAGTGGATAGAACAAACATTGAGGAAAACACCCAACTGTGTCACAAGGCAAGCCCTCATCTGAAAGCCTCAAGGTCAAAGGAGAAAAGAAAGGCCAAAAAACATATTACTCTGAGAAATCAAGACAGACATGACAAGAATGAACAACAATTGTATGAAACTAGAAAGAAAGGCCCAGGGCAGTGTGAGTTGGAGAATGTTGTTCGGTGACCTATGCTCCATTGGGGGTAACAGGCGTAAGTAAGTAAGTAGGTAGGTAGGTAAGTAGGTAAGTAAGTAATTAAGTGAGTAAGTAAGTATCGTCATGACATAAATATAATCAATAATAACCACTAGCTTTATAAAAGACCAATTAAGTTAATACTTTTCATTATTTCATAATTAAATAAGAGGAATAGTGAATTACATGTACATGTATAAGAATAATATGGGTATATATCATTAAAATAAGTTAAAGACAAGTATATTTCAATTTAAAATGTTATTACATAATATATTTAACATACAAAATACATGGCATATTTAAATTGATATACCTTCCTGTAAAGTTACAGCTTACTTTCTATGTTATGACAATCATTAATTCATTATAAGTCAACTTAAATATATAAAAAAAGGACGAAAAAAAATGAAAAAAACACAACTAAAATCTTTTTTTCATATTTTTTTACAAATTAAAATTGAATCTAAAAAACAACGAAAAAAAGAAAAATATCGGAAAGACTAAATTATTGAATGAAAACTAGAAAATTACGATCAAGACGAACTGTGTAAATGATGACATGTCATTTCTGTTGTAGATTTTTCTTGCCGTAAAATTTTTAATGTTTTTTTTGTTTTTTGTTTTCTTTTTTGTTGTTGTTGTTGATGATGTTCAATGATTTTATTTTCATAATTTATATATGGATTTGATAATCATATTTAGTTGTGACCATTAAATAGTGTATTATTAGAATTATGATTGAATAGACTAGAAATTGATTTTCATTCATTGAAAAGAACAAAAGACATTTTATTTTCAAATATTATTTTGATTGTATGAGTGAATAACTATTGATAAGTTAGCTGAAATTATTTTCAATTGAGTAGTTCAGACATTCATATCCTCATCCGTATGCTCACTACAATAATAGTAATAATAATAATGGTAAGAATAATTGGTTTTTATGAGTAGTCATTGAAATCTGTGAAAGTAATTTGAACGTTGACACAATGAAAACTATGAAAAAGAACATTTAACCAATTGAGTGCTAGAAATACGGGAACACTAAAAATCTATTCCATATTAAAATGGCACTTTTTAAAAATGCAAATTGGATATTTTTGATTTCAGATATATAATATTTATTTTACTAAAAAAAGAAATATATTTCCATCGCATTACTATAATACAATTAAGTAGATCATAATTTCAAGTTCAACCTATTTGAATAGTTTACTAGTTTATCAAATTATGATGTTGAATAAATCGTCCCCTTTTAGTTTAGTAAATTTCTAATTATCCAAGTAAAATACTGACTAAATTGCATTTAATAATATACAGTGATTTTAAAATTTTTAAACTAGCTAAATGATTAATTCATCAGTCCCTTATCAGCATATATGCATCCTAATTAGTCAGTCTGATCAACTACAGTTCAAAATATCAATGGGGAAATTTAAACAAACGATACAAAAAATGAATTAGAACTTCATCTCATTGTACACGCTGGTAGCTTACGTGAATCAGTAGTTAAGTGGATCACGTGATGGCGTTCGAAGTGAACGGTACTGAGTTCTAGTTCTGTGGTGAACACCGACTGTAGTATGCAGATACATTTAGCTGGCGAGTTCCAAATAGGACGGAACGTGCATTCTAGATTCACTCATCCATCTTTTTCTCATAACAGCTAATTCATTTTTATCATATTCCTTGTTATTCAGTTATCTGATTTTATTACTTCATTAAATATATGCATAGTCACTTACAAGTATAAATCAAACAGAATATCTTTATATTGTTGCATAAAGCTGACAAGTGATGCAAAGAGTATTTTTTTGACAATAAGATTTTTACTGTGAAGCCAATTTAATAGCTAGTATGAAGCCTTGATTTAATTCTATCCACAAATTCATTTCTAATCCCTTGTATTACACTAATAAATCTTTGAAAAAACTGTAAGATGAATCCCACTAATCGTATAAATTACAGAAAATATTCCACCTAAATGGATTAACTGGCCTATTGTAACGCCAAAATATTTCCTACTTATAATATAAAGGAAATATTAGAGTCATGTTGATGGTAAGACAATTAACTATATGATGTCAGGTTCCCATTACTGTCTGCATAAATCAAAATATTTACCTTCAGTTTTTGAAACAAAAAAGAAATCTCTTTTAAACAATTCGTATGAAAAGTTTCAAGTATTCTGAGAAATACCGTTAGGATATAGAAATATCTGCTTGCATGTTGTTAAACCTCTAGCTTTCCTGAATACAATGCAATGCAAATCGTTTATCACTCAATTGATCATTTTGATAGATAAGAAAAGTATTTATGGTATCAAAGATAAATTGAGTCGGTTAATATAACCGTGTAGAAATTTAAACAGTAAAAAAAATAAAACATCAACCAAAGTTATGAAAAATTGTTTCACAGTTAGTAAAATATAGATTTATTTCCAGAAAGGGGTTTTGTGGAGATTGGAGTATTTTTAATAATCATCTTATGCTCACTAGTGACTGTCTCCAAGGGTTATTTCCTCGAGTTCTAGTAAGAAGCAATGACCAGTGGAATTGAACTGGGTCTGTTGTGAGATAGTAACTCACTGAAGAAAGTGATGAACAGCGGCTCAATTTCGTGGATTGATTGAATTTAGTTGGCCGGCTCAATGGTCTATAGGTTAAGTGTTAGCGCACGACAGCGATAGGTTCCAGGTTCAAATCACTTTAGCGGGATAGTAGATGTGCACTGCTGAGAAGAGCCTGATACTAGGACGAAACGGTCATCTAATGCTTCCAGGTTTCCCATGATGGTCTAACTTTAATTAAATTAAAAATTCAATTACAAAAATAAATTTATTATCTAAAATAAATTTACTTACAAATTTTCAGAAAATTTTCAATTTTTTCTTAAAAATCGATAAATTGGAATAAATTTAGTTCCGATTGTAGTCCATAAATTTAATGAACGATTTGATTTCCAATAATCAGTAGATATTACAGTAGAAATATGATTAACTTGTAATCTATTATTGTTAACATTAATAATTTTACTCATATTAATTTGTATTGAATTATTTTCATTTTGAAAACAATTTTCAAATTGTTCTATAAGTTTATTAATATTTTGTTGTTGAGTATAATTACTACTGATATCAGAAGAGGGACTACTGATATCAGAAGGGAGACTATTAATATCATCTATATTTGTATTATTATTATTATTATTATTTAATATATTTAATGGAATAGTTAAATAATATAAAGCTAAAATTTTGAAAATATAATATTTTTCTGATTTATCACATTGATCATTCCACCATTGTATTGGATTCTCATTAATATTAATTGATTTTTCATTTAAATAATCATTAATTGAATATTGAAATTCATCCATATAACTTATTTTACGATGTAATCCCATTTTTTCAACATAATCATCAATTAATGATATCTACAATGTAATAGAATGAAGAAAAATAAAACTGTTAAGAAAAGTGAACTTCTCTTATATATTTTCATTATTTTAAATACACTAAAGAATGAATGGTTCCTTTTTTTTTTAAAAAAAAGAGAAAGAAAAGAAAAGAAGATTATACGTTCAAACCAATCTGAAATAGTAACCTATGAAATTTAACGTATAGTAGTGATTTTAGATTATTTGAGCCATTTATTAATAAGATAATGTATAATATGATCTTATATACTTGGTATTAATGGTTTATTACAATATACAAATGTATATTTGTCTAGTTCGTTAGTAATGTTTATAATGTTACTCTTATATGAATGATAGAATAACCTATTGCAAATCAGGAAGAAATAGATGCTCATATAAATATAATGATTGTAAAGATCGAATTAGAGATTAAGCAGTTAAAACAAATGTACAATGGACGAACCGATCAGGTCTCGAATTTTGGCGCGAAATTCGCTTACCAATTTGGAAAAATAGAGTTTTGACATTATAGCTGATGTCAGTTTGTTATGAAAACCCTAAATATTATTCTTAATCTTAATTGTCTGTAAATCACAATTCGAAATCCTCACAGAGGTTTATAACCCTCATTTGATTTTATTTACTAGGTAGACACTATCATGGTCAGTCCAGTGTGGCTCAAAGATCGTTCATAAATTATAGTCTCATCGTGTACAACTTTTATATATACTGTCAAATTGAAAGGGTTAATGGATGTATTATTTTTTAGGAGGTTTAAGAAAGTAAGAATATTTTAAAAATGAAATAAATGCAACTAATCGTTGAATGGGAACAGATACTCTAGATGTAGGATCTTCTGATATTCAGGGTTATAACATCAAAAATGGTAATTAGAAAAGAATAAACAACCTTTAGTCATACTATCGTTCAATCTCTTGGCATTGACCAAAGCAACAGTATTATTTTGAAAAAGTCAAACGTTTAAGAAATACTATAACTTGAAGCAAATTTGTTTGGATAAATAGGATTACTAATCATAATATCATAATACCATTAAGCAATGTCTAATTTTTAAGTAATCTCACTTTGTGTACAGAAACAGAAACTTACATGTCATTTGTTATATTTTATGGTCATCAGCCTTTCTATTTGTAAATTCATGTCTTCCTTCTTCCACGTAACCGACAAACACTACACTAATGCCTAATACACCTTAATGTATCTTGATTTGTACTATGATTAACTGTCCTAACTTCATATAAATGACTCGGTAATAAAACTTAATCATGAATATTCCTCTCACTGTTAGCTAACTATCAAGAGGTCTTGGCCTGATTAAACTATATCTATCTTCCTAACCTAGTTATGAAAATTTCTCAGTCCTTGTATATCCTTCCGACTAATTTCGTCTGGTCTATCGGTAAACTTTGCTAATCTATCATTTCAATCATATCTGTATTCATTGTATCTATTCTTACTTACACTGGAAATGCTATCGTCTGTTCATTGAAATTTCCATTAAAATAAATTCCTAACTAAAAGTGTTTGGAATCTTAAGACACATTTAACAGTATTTAGTGAATTTAGTTTAACAACTAAGCGTGCATACTGTTGTTTTTAAACTTAAACCTCTCACTTCTACACATTCTTCTACATTGATATAAATCTAGGTTAATTAAACATCATAGTTTGTACAAGTAATCACAAATACTTTGTTATGTTGATACTTTTGAATAATATTATCCTTCCTTAAAAGTGTGGTTACAAGGTTCACCAAATAAACTTCGTACAATAACATTATTTCATTTTACGCATTAGTGTGATAGTTATTATTATCTGTACTGTTGTTGTTTTCAGTATTAATACTTCCAAATGTAATTAGAAAATGAAAACAACTTCCTAATTAAAATATATCTTCATGACCTTTGATTTGTTTTTATTAGTACACATTAATGAATAACTTCTTTTCAAAATTAAAAGGTAGATCAAGTTTTTTTGGAATATTAAAAAATACTGAATGTAATAATTGAATTTATGAGTCACTTGAAGCTAGACAACCGTGGAAAACGTGGAAGCATTGTATGGCAGTTTCATCCTAGTATGGGACTGCTCTCATCAGTGCACATCACCAAACCCCCCGCGGGATTCAAGCCGAAGACCTATCAGTCTCGCGCGCGAGGTAGTAACTCACTAATGACAATAGTGGATGTGTCACTCAATTTCGTGGATTCATTGAAGTTAGACATCAACACCGTTGAATGTCGAGTGGCTCTAGAGGTTAGGAGTTCACGTGCGAGACTAATAGGTCCTTGGTTTGAATCGCGTGAGGCGGGATCGTGATCATGCACTGCTGAAGAGTCCCCTATTAGGATGAGACGGCCGTCCAGTGCTTCCACTCTCTGATTATAATATTGAATTTATATACAATAATAATAAAGATAGAAATGAAACATACTTTTATTTGTAATCTATGTAGAATATGTTCATAATCATTTTGATTCATTGAATTCTTAAAACGTGGATCAAGAAATGTTGAAATATAAAGAAATTCTTCTAATATATTATTCTTATTAAAAATTGTTTTTAAATATGTTATTATAGTAGTATAAAACTGATTTGATAAATTATCATTTATTTTTTCAATATTTATTGAATATAGATTTTTTAATATTGGTAATATCATTGATACAGTAAATTGTGAATAATTAGTTTTACATAGTTTTTCAATCTCTTGTACAATCTATAAATGGATAAGAAAGAAAAAAATATATTTCAGTACATGGATGAATATTTAGTAATTATATGCACTAACATTTTTAATATACAATTGATTACAAAGAACTGATTAACTAAAGGAAATTGTTCTGTAGACAAAATTTGTGGCTCAGTTTGATGATTTTGATGAAGTTTTGTTCTTTATGCTGGATAGTTTGGTTGTGGAGCTTTCATCGTTCTTCTGAACGACATCATTAGCACAAAGTTCAGGTTGAAGTGAAGTGTTTGAATATCTCCATATGTGATTTACAGATTGTCCTGTACACCCAGATGTTGATTGGTTCTTGTTGACCTCAAGGTCAAATCGGAACACTTCACGTCTACCTGTAGTTATTCACAAGAACGATGAAAACTTTATGACCAAACCATTTAGCTCAGAGAACGAAACTCCATCGAAAGTGTTCTGTATTTGGAGATGCCTCATGTGAATAAATCGTAGGGACTTTTGAACAGAATAACTCAATTCATGATTCATGATATTTATTGTAAATAAATTCACGTATTTTAGAATACAAGTGAATATGAATATCTGGATTTCAGCAAGCAATTAGAGTACTACACTAGGAATATATTGAGTTCACTTAGCTTGACAAGTGTTCTCAATAAATTAAACTCTAGCTTTTATCTTACATGTTATTAAACCAGGTTCAAATGAGATCTAGATAAATGTTTATAGGTTTAGTTTCTAGTCAATGAAACTGTAAAAATGTTATGGAATGATGAAAGTCTCAAATTTTATCGAAAAAAAATTACCAAGGTAGTCCCTTAGACTGATGTAGAAAGTAATTTCAAGAGAACTAATAAATTGTTAGAATGTTAGTCAGTGGCTGAAAATTAGATATTAGTTTACTACAGGTCGAATTGTTTGATAACTGATAGCTGAAAATATGGAATGTATCACTTAGTAGTAAGAGACGTAATTTACTATGTTAAATATATGATCAAAAGTTTACTAATTAAAAATGCCTTATATTCTCAGAACTTTGCAGTTTTTATTAAACAAATATAAATATAAGCTGTTAGCAATAGTAGTAAGCATCTCTATCATTTATTTGGTTGTATTTGGGAGTCAATTTAATCCGTTTCTATGGAAATATAAATTTCGTAAACGGATGTCTTGGTGTAGGATTCAGTTGTAATTTTGGATTGTGACCAGCAGTAAGTGTTCAAGTCTTATATTTTCTTCCATTTAGAATATATAAACTAGATATACCAGTATTAATGCTTAAAATGATAAATATTAAATTAGAGGTTTAGCAGGAACGTCAACACAGAGATTCAGATACATTCATCTGACGAATACGAATCAAAACAAAATGCACTTCATAGACTGCATTGCTGAGATGAAAAAGTATATTAGCCTTTGAATCTATGGTGTTAGTTCATATGTTATAAATTAATTTTAAAGCATGGTTATTAACCCTAGTGACATATTTGATGAACCATAATTTATCGGCAATTAAAGTCAAAATCGGGCTCAGTCTTAAAAGCTTGTTGTGAACAACTTTTAAGCTTTGGTTCCCACCACAAGTAAATCTTATCTAAATCAACCAGAACAAATATGTTGTTCTTGAGTCCCAATACGAAGAATCCCAATAAGAATACTGTGCAAGTCGTGAATCTTTCAGCTTCTGAAATATTGAAACTCAACTAACTGAATAAGTTGGACAAGTATAATGTAGTAATCTATGACATAATTTTGTAAAACATTCTCACACTTCAATACAATTTATGATTTCATCCACCAAAATCCCAACTATTCAGGTTATGCAGTGTTTATCCAGTGTACACTCTAAAACTCTTAAAATGCTGATTTCATGAAGCGAACTACTATGCTATATTGAGAATTGATTGGAATTAGAAATGGGAATCAATGGATCCCTATTTAATAGTTTGAATATATCATGCTTGTCAAAAAAATATGCGAGTCTTAATTCTGATTCAGTGTATTGTTGTGAATGTCAGCTATTGAAAACGAAATGCAAAGTAGGAGAGAACAGCCTTCCAAAGTTTCATGGCTTTCAATGGTCTTTTGAATGGTATCTCAAAAGTTATATATTTTTATGTCAATAACATATGAGATCATCTCCAAGTTAGTTTATTTTATATTTGAACATACTTCAATCGATTTAAAAATTTGGTTAATCAGTTTCATGTCTACTTCGGTGAAATGAGGTAATCGATCCATGTTAGGAATGATACGAGTAATTAAATCCAAAATATCTGATAAAGGTTCATTTATATTGATTTGATCATTTGATTGGCTTTTGAGATTTGATTCTGAAGATAAGTCCTCCATCTGTTGAACATTTTCATCAAGTGTTTGAAGTGATTTCTGGTAGTTTGTTAGAACTTCATTAATTTCTGGTATACATAATGCACGCTATAATGATAATAATAACGGGGAACACAATAATGAAATATCAATTAAAATATTGAATTATTATATAACACAAATTGATAACGATTAAAGATTTGCGCAAACATCTATCACATACCGAATCATTTTTACATACTTGTCATATTTGCCCGAAAATTTATTTTGTATTTCGCCATAAATCCTACTAAATGTAATTACATCATTACATAAATACATTTCAAGCAGATTAAGATAATAGCTGAATAATTGTATTTTGTATCTTAAATAAATTTCACTCCACTACTAAAAATTAAAAAAAATTTTTTTTCTAGATAAAGGAAGTAAACAGTAGCGTGATAAAAGAAGAAGAATCGAAGACACTTCAAAAAGGAAAAAACTTTTATTTTTTTTATATTTTTATAAAGCTCAAAGAATTTTGAATCAAGTTAATTCAGTCGATAATACTAGTTCAGCATAGTATCAAGTATTTAGTTCAAAGTAAAAAAAATGTTAACGATATTTATGGACACATTAATATAAACGTATCAGTGTATTTGAATAAACCAGAGAGGGGTTTTGTGGAGATTGTAGCAATTTAATAATTGAATTCATGAGTTAATTAAAGCTTTTAGGTTTTCCATGGTAGTCCAGCTTTAACTGACTCATAGATTCAATTAATAAATTATTACAATCTCCGCAAAACCCCTCCCTGATTATAATCATCATACGTACACTAGTGATTGTCCCCAAGAGTTATTTCCTGGAGTTCTAGTGAGAAGCAGTGACCAGTGGAGTTCAACTGGGTCTGTTGTGAGATAGTAACTCACTAATATAAATGGTGGATGGTGGCGCAATTTTGTGGATTGATTGAAGTTAGACATCAACACCGTTGAATGCTGACCGGCTCAATGGTCTTGGGGTCAAGCGTTCACGTGCGAGACCGATAGGTCCTCATTTCGAATCTCGTGGGGCGGGATCGTGCATGTGCACTGATGAGAGAATTCCCATATTAAGATCAAACGGTCGTCCATTGCTTCCATGTTCTCCATAGTGGTCTAGTATCAATCGACTCATGAATACAATTATTAAACTAAATAAATGTTTAAATCAAATAAAGTATAATAAGAGTGATAGAATTACTGAAGAAGAACTCTTTCAACTTGTTAAACTACCTTACATGTAGCTTCCATTTAAAGGAAGATTTTTGTGTGTGTTTTTGTTTTTGTACAGTACGTCAAAATGTCCAAGATAGTAAATAATTTTCATTTATGTGATAATATTCTGAAGATATTACTAAAATCTCAATGGTTATTTTGTAAATAAATTCTGATAGCATAATCATGTCATTACAATATTGTGTCAACTCAATAATTAATCAAAAGTTCTATACCTAATTAGAGATGTAGTTCACTAGTTTTTCTGTTGATCATAGAATAAGTAAAAACTGTCAATTATCAACAATAATATGTCCTACGTTTACAAAATATGAAAAATATAACTATAAATCTGAGTATTATTAGTAGATTACAATTACTGTTGATTTAAGTTGCTCGTAGATCTGCTGATAAATGCATATCGCTGAATGATTCCTTTGATAGATTTTTCTTTACAGAAAAGAATAATTGACCATACATTATGACTTTTCTTTATTTATATTAATGTGCTTTCAGTGCAAAACTCAGCCTGTAGCTCTTCTAGAGTTATTGCCTGTCCGAATCCCGGAAAAAGGAGGAGGGTTGGGCATGGGCTTAGCGACCCCATCACGTAGAAAACTAACTCGCTAGAGAAAAACGCTGAACACTAACTTTCAGTGTAAAATCATAATCTTACGTTGTTTTAATATTAGTGCTCTGGAATATGCACATCAGAACCCTTAAAGATATATTGTCACATTGAATGAACGATTCTGAACCTCTAGGAACTGAGCATCTCAAACGCAAAAATGTTTATCAGCCAAATGTAATACATTTTTCAAGATGTTACTATTAGTCAAGTCTATAAATTGTCTTGAGAGCTGACCTGTTCAACTTTGGAATTTCATTTTCAGCGCCTAAGTGTAAATCTAGATTAAGAAGGACTTAAAATATGTACTAATAAGATTTTAAATATCATAAAAACACGTTAATAAAGTCTCAATATAGAATATACATTTAGAAATGCTTTACAAATTCAACATAACAACCTCCATTCACCTTGAAAATGACTAAGATGATCTCGTCAAAACTATTTTAAAGCTCATTTAAATCAGCCGACATGGAGCAATCTTTCACAATAATATATCGTGTTAACAATAGTCTACCTAATTCCGTTAGACTGAGAATCCTGTAGACGACTCAAACAATTGCTATTCAGATAAAAATAAGCCAGAGCTTTGTACCCAAAAGAAATATGTTCAGCCGCTTCTTTAACATTGGCTAACTTCAGGCTCAACTAGTTAATAATCAGTTTCATGATGTGGTGACGTTCATTTATATATATATATATATATATATATTACCTGTACAGCATTCTTCATGTAAACATTGAAATATGGTAATATAAGATAATTAGAAATTGGACAAGATTCTTTGAATGCATTTAAAGTATATTCTAAACAATTAGTCAAT